CACAGCTGGCAAGCCCCAACTACTGACATTTGAGCAGGTGGGAAAATATCAGCAGATAGCACAGAAAAGCTTTGATGTGAAAGTCAAAATCCCTAACAAACAAAAGGAAGCGTGAAGCAAACCGTGACTTCAGGGAAAGAAAACCTGAAAGCTCAGGAATGTCCTCAGAGAGGTATGGGGAGGCACAAGAGCTATGAACCCACAGCAGGGTGTGAGAAGAGGTGGGGGTAGAGCGAGCCGGAGGACACTCTTAGGGACGTGGACAACAGCTCAAAGTCTCGGCCAGAACAAAGCTGACAGCTTCCAGAAAGAAAGTGGACAACCTGGGCACCTGGGTGGCTCAAGTCGGTTAAGTGTCTGCCTTTGGCTCAGGTCATGGTCCTGCGATGGAGCCCCACATCGGGCTTCCTGCTTGGCAGGAAGCCTGCTTCTGCCTCTCCTCCCAGCTCCTACTCTCTCTTGCTATCTCTCTCTCTCTCTCTCTCAAATAAACAAAATCTTAAAAAAAAAAAAAGGGGGGGGAGGGGACAACCTATGCAAAATCAGAGCGCCTATCCAGAAGGTCCAATGGAAAGAAATCAAAGCAAGAAATCAAGAAAAATGCCCAGCATTGAAGAACAGGCATTTCCAAATAAAGGGGCCTCAAGAGTAGGCAAGACACTGGATGAAAACAGCCTCCAAGGGCCATCACTCCCCTGGGTGTTTTGAAATTCAGGGAGAAAAAATCCTTTAAGCTTCAGAGAAGAGCTACATATACAAGCTGAAGAATCAGAATGTCTGAAGCCTTCAACAATAACCCTGAAGACAGAAGTCAGAACAAAATGGTGTCGAACTCTGACTCAGACACATGGGTGGAAATAAAGCACTTCCAGACATACATGTTCTCAAAACTTTATATCCCCACATGTCCCCAGGCAACCCCTTAAGGAAGCGCTCCATCACAATGAGAGGGGTAATAAGTCAAGAGAGAGAGAGACATGGGTTCCAGGAAACCAAGGACCCAATGCAAAGGTGTGGTGGGATCTGCAGGAAGAATCCAGCAGGTTTATTGGGGGATATTTATTCCAGATGAGATTAACGAAATACTGAATTTCACTAGTTAAGAAAGACTCCATTTCTTGGAGTCTTCTCCATCTCTTAATGAAATATTGATTTCATTAGCTAAAAAATACTCATCTCTTGAAAGGAGATTTAGACAACTGGTGAATTTGGGCTTGAATTTTAGTGACCAATACACAGAAAACAAAAAACAAGACTACCAAGAACTTCAGGGAAAACAAAAACTGATGCAGGAAAGGAAAAGTTAACCCATCACACCATCTGCCTAGCTGTGAAGGGTACTATGGAGTCACAACATGAACACTAAATTCTGGACTAACCAAACTACAGGTGCACATGCTTTAGGCAGCCACATATTTGTGCGGGGAAGGCACAGCGGTGAGAGCTAGAAATTTCACATCCACCCTCAGGGTCAAGTGAGGAGACAAGACATGCAACAAGGAGGAAAGCAATGAAACAGCAGGAGAGCACATGTGCTGTTTAGAGCAGGAGGCAAAGAGGTGGATGTGTGTGCTCTGCAGGAGAGGAAACAGGACTGGGGAAGGAATGTCAGTGTCTCCTTACAAGCCTTTCCACATGTATTACTCCTTTAAAAACCTAGTTGAAGATATAACCTTGACTTGAAATAAAATTTTTAATTTAAAAATTCAAATGAATGCCAATAAAATGTATTAAGGGAGAGTACACAAGGTCAATGTATTGTTACCAAATTAATGGCAACCATCAAGATGACTAACATGACGCCCAGACAGGTCTGGGACAACACATCTGGCTGGTCTCCAGCAGTATCTGAGGAACTTTAGAGTATTTGGTAAAACAGCCTACTAGGGATATCATATGTCTGACTTTAAGGGGCACCTGGGTGGCTCAGTGCATTAAGGCCTCTGCCTTTGGCTCGGGTCATGATCCTGGGGTCCTGGGATTGAGCCCTGGGTCAGGCTCTCTGCTCAGCAGAAAGCCTGCTTCCCCCTCTCTCTCCACCTGTCTCTCTGCCTGCTTGTGATCTGTCAAATAAATAAATAAAAACTTAAAAAAAAAATCCTTTAAAATGTCTGACTTTAAAATACAAAACAAAAAAAATTTACTTTAGCATAAAATAACTTGTGTAATCAATTTTTAAAACGTCACAAATGAAAAAAGAGTTTCATTTTCTTGGTTTTCAAATGTTGAGTGTTGTGGTGCTTTTATAACTTAAGAGAAAAGGCATTTTGACACACTGATGCTCTCTGGCTATTTTTCCACTTGGCCAAAAACTTATCAATATGCATGCTGGACCTCTTGCCACTGTAGCTTGACAACTAAGAACTTAGTTGTGTGCCGTTTCTTCCAAGAGTTTGGTTATTTCTTAATAGTTAAGGGGAAAAGGCTTCCTATGATCACTAGCCCTGTGGGGATTGATGTATGCTGAACAGGCCTCATCAAATGTATCACCTGGTACTTCAAGAAGTGTGTTCTCTGCTCAGACCCTTTTGATAAGTGGAAAAGTTTCACGTGGGAAGCATTAGTGGAGACCCTAGCTCATCCACTTGGGACTGCTCCTAAGTCATCCAAGTGGACAGTGTAATCACTTAAACCCTGTTCAAGTCACAGCATCCTCGACAGGACTAGAAGGGCATGAAGCCCTTCAGAACAGGACCTGAGCAAAGCCCTCCACCATCTGAGATGTTAGCAGTGTACCCAATTCTCAACTCCTTGCCCATTTGTGTCACCAGCTACAGCTGTCACGCATCCCGTTGGTAGAAGCTAGTCTTCCTGTTTAGAACACCCCATTCCCGCAACACTCTTACTCATCCTCTAAATGCAGTTCAACAACTACCTTCTTTGTAAAAACTTTGTAACAGGTAATTAGCGCCTCCTCCTTCATATCTCCATACTTCGTACATATTCCCACTGCTGCACTCAAAACACTGTAGCCTAATTATTTTACAGGTGAATCCCCCATACTAGACCATACACTGCTTAAGGAAAAGAAAAAGGTCTATATCCTCTTTAGGTTTCCATCCCTAGAATCCTTGTGAGTGCTCGGCACACAATTCGCAATGTATGTTCCCAGGAGAAGGGCAGTTATGAGGCCAAAGTCAGACAATCAGATGCCCCAAACAAGAAAACCAAGGGAAGCACACACACAACTTGGCGATTCAAGAAGAGTTCTATCAGGCCGGGGAGATGTCAGCCTGGCCCATGGGGGAGGGCCCTGCGACAGCCACCGGCTGGGGCCGACCGCACCTTAGGGGTGCGCGCTTTACGCAGCTGACGTCAACTCGGTGGGAGGAAATGAGGTGAACCCACGAACAGGGCCCGGCACATACAAGGACTTAATGGAAGTTACCGGGAAGTTTAGTCCTCACTGTAAGGAATTTAAGTGGCTTTCAAATGTTGTCCCTCAAGACTTGAAGGGGCGCTGCTCCGTCTCCTAGCGTCAAAGTCTCAGGACAGGCTGTCTGCCGGCTGGTGTTTCCCACCCAGAGCACCGGGAGCTCCAAAAACAGGGTCTTCTTCACCAAACCCCTTTTCCGACTCCTGTACAGCACGGCTTCCACACTCAACGAGGTTAGCTCGGAGGCGCTTCTGGTTCTAAAGCGTCAAACCCTAACCCAGGCGGCAGGTCTGAGTCCACAGACCGACACCGCTCTTACTCTGTCGTGCGGCACTGCCGGCCGCCGCAGACAAAATCCCAAGTGTGCCGTGCCCTGCCGTAATCCCTGCCAGCCAAGAGGTGACGGTCCCGCGGAGAACACCAAGCCACGGGGACGACCACTCCCTGGAGGCCTCAGAGCGCTCCCCTGCCCACAAGGAGGGCTCAGCGAAAGCCACACGGAGAGGCTTTTCCTGTGGTCTCACAGGAACCCAAACCCTCTCACTTTCCGAGGCGATGCCCTGAACACCTAACCCCTTCTCCAGCGACGCCCTCTCAGTGCCCCCAGGGACCCCCCCCCCCCACGCCATCGCCCATCAGAGCCTCGGAAACTGTTTACGCTCAGTCAGGGATCTTCCACAAGCGCTCCCCGATCAAGGCATTTGCATTGCGCCGCTGCGGGCCTGCAGGCCGCCGGGAGGGAGAAAGGACACCCCGGCCGGCACAGCTCCGTGGCTGTACCGAAGCCACGTCGCCGCGGGGGGCTCAGGGACGCTCCCCGGTCTCACCTCGCGACCTGCCCGCAAGGAGACCGCGAGACGCCGCGCCCGCCCCGCCCTCCCCCCGGGGCACAGGCCCCAGCCCGGGCGCAAGAAGGCCACGTCCCCGGGGACGGACGCCCAACTCGATGGTCCGCGCACAGCCCCGCCGGATCACGTGACCCTCAGCGGCCAATGGGGGCAAAACCCCCACACCATCGAGACGACGGCGGCCCGGGGCTAGAGCAGCCCCGTCCAGCTGCCCGCCGTACCCTCTGCAACCCTGCTCCGGCTCTCCCAGCTCGGTGCTGCCGCCATCTTCCTGGAGGAGAGGGCCGGAGGCGAAGGCTCCCGGCCCGTGGTCGCTCCGCACTCTTACCCTAACCTGTCCTACCCCGTCCACTTCTCCTCAGCGGTCACTTAGCTCCTTGTAAAGAAACACCCTTCATCCCACTCTACGTACCCACAAGGCAAAGACTCACATTACCTGTTCCACTCTTATCAGCGTAAAGAAACCAAGCTCATAAGGTAGGAACTGTGGCGAAACAGGGACAAGCCGCCATCTTGGTAAAGGAGAAGAGGCTACGCTTGACCTCCCCCCCCACCCCCAGCCTCTATATGGCCAACTGCCGTGGGAGGGGCACGGCGCCTGCGCAGAGGCGGAAAACGCGGACAGGCCTGCGCCTGCGCACTCGAAAGCCGGCAAATGGGGGTGGGGAGGAAGGCCAGGTCGCGCCGAGGCGAGGAAAGCGTTGGCAAGGGGGCGGGTCGACGTGATGACGCCATCCGCGCACGGGGTGGAACAGGGCGGAGTGCGAGCGTCCGTCGGGCACTGGGCGGGTCCACGGCGCGATCGGTAGGCGCCCGTTCATCTGCTAGTCGGCGGTGAGTTCCTGCGGTGAGTCCCCGCCGTGGCGGGGGGCGCGAGCTGCAGGCCGACGCAGAAGGAGCGGGTGTCCGCTGGCCGCGGGCGGTCGGCCGGCTACGGGAGCGCGCGGGCGGGGCGGCTTGTTTGGTGTGGGGGAGGGGCGTCAGGCCCGGGGTCCCCGGCCCTCCTCCTCCTCCGCGGGGTCCGCGGTCCCCCAGGCCCTCACAGCGGGATGTGTCCCGGAAGAACCCGAGCCACCCCCCTCTTCCGTCCCTGGGCGGTTTCGGTGGGGCCGTCTCGGCGCTGGGCCCGGGACGCCCACCCGGCGCTGGCGGTCGTGATTGGGGAGGGAAAGCCCAGGTTGCGGCCTATGAGGCGTCTGGTCGTCGCCCCGACCTGGCCCTTCCACCCCACCATCCTCTGGCGGAGAGGAGCCCTCACACGTTATTGACGTCTTGGTGAGCTCCCAAGACTCTTCCTGGCCGCAGACGAAACAGGGGAGAGGAGGAAGCGGCGGCCCCTGCCCGGTGCACCGCTGGGCCCGGAAGGATGGGGGTGGCGGCCACCATTCCCACGAAGGCCTGACGGAAAGCTGACCTGTGGCTGCCTTTGCTCTCAGGAAAGTCCCCGCTTGGTGGCCGGAGGACCCACAAGACCTGGCCGCCTTTTACCTTTTCGGCTCATTTTTGTCAGTACCAGTCCCTTATCTTGTCTGTCCTCCCGCCACACGTAGAGCTGAACTTGCAGTTCAAACTGCTGGGTCTTTGTCACCTTTGGTCTTGCCCCAAATCCTTCTTTCTGTTTGAAACCCAGTAAGCTCCCCACCTTCTTTGTTTTTTCTTGTGTAGTCCCTTCTCTGTTGTTCAGGATTCGGCCCAGTATAGATTTCCTCTGGCTGGATTAGGTGCGCGCTAGATGTCGGCCCTTATTGTTCCTTTTGGTAGCTATCTACTAGATTGTTGCTCTTTAAGGGGCAGGAGATGGGCGAGTCTTGTCACCCTTACCCTGTGTCTAGCACAGTGACTGGCACATAGTAGGTTGTTAGATGTTTCTTGAACAGTCCAAATCATTGTAGTGTAGAGGTCCGGAAAACTGTTTCCTAGTGTTTGTAATTTGAGGTTGATTAATTTCCGTTTTGGTAGCTGCCACTCAAACTTTCTTTGTACCACCCATATCCTAACTCACAATGTGTACTGCTCTGTCAGATCTTGGCACTCAGCTGTGAAGGTGATCCTGATGCTTTTCCCCATTTTCCACTTGGATCTCTCACCTGGCACAGCACTCCAGCGTAAAGAACAAGGGCTTCTCAATCAGATCACATTTGCATTGACTGCCTTTGCACTAGCAGGGTGACCTAGAGAAATGGGAAGGAAAGGGGGTGAGACGGTTCTCTGTCATAATTCATAAATGTGATTCAGGTCCCCTTTTATACCCAACTCCTTCTTATACCCAAAGACAGAAACTGTTGAAAAAGAAAAAGGTTTTTTTTATTTTTTTCCCAGAGAGAAGGGAACATCAGAACTCATTCGGCAGCAGAATTGGGTTGAAGCCATTTTATATTCTGTATTTATACCGCTTTGTGTTAATGGTCATGTATGTCACTATAGAAGATACATTTGATTGTGGGGTGTGCTGTCCAAGTAGCCATTGAGGAGGTTGTGTTGTATAGTGTATGTACCTTCTTAAAATCGAAAGAATCTGAATGCTGAATGTCTCAAGAGCCCGCCCTGGATTAGGGATTATGGACATTTGGGGTCTAGTACAGCAGGGTCATTTTGTGTGTGGGGGTAATGTATGTAAATAGGAGATTAACATGTTTGTAATTGGTAGTGAGGGGCAATCTACTAGTGTAAATACCACTAGCAAAATAAATTTATATGTATTGCCAAGAATCTAATTTTATCCATCTGTTTTTCATCTTCTGTTTTGGAAAAGTTGCTTTGTTCTATGAGAATTGCTCTGTGGAAGAAGGAAGCCACATTCAAGTAAAGACAAATGTTTAAACAATTGCTAGCATCTAGGATGAGCACTACCAGAAAGAACAAAATTTTTATTTGACCACAGTGAGTTTGGGAAATACAAATGGACTACAGTCATGGTTTAAATTAATCAACAGTAATTAGCATCTTGTGTTGTAGGATCAAGGCTTTCTCACTGAAAACCAGGTGCTTCAAAAAGTTCCACTTTCCTCTTTCAATTTTCATTTTACATTCGTTAGCTAGTAACTTATATTGTTCCAAAATCGTAGTGGATCCAAATTATATTTCAGGGAAAAAAACTGAGTATAAAATAGCATATTTCAAGAAAAACTTGCTAAATTAAAGAATTCATAGCCTGTTCCGATAATTGTATTCTCCATTATTCTATACATGTGCATCCAGATAGGTCTCCCTGCCTTCCCTCCAGCAGGAAACTGATAGGGAGCAGTGAAAGTTCCCCTTCTCTCCTAAGGAACAGCTTCTGTCCTGCTGAACAGGATAAGGTGAACACAGGTGGGCTCGAGGTACAGCATTCTCACGGTGTTCAGATGAAGTTGGTTAGAACCCAAGCAGGGGTCCAGGACTCACTGAGAAGAAGCAAGTCTGTTCAGGAGAGACCTCCATGACAGTCCTGTGTCCTATTGGGCTGGTTTGAAATAAGATACATGTGATAGCTTTTAAGGCAAGTTCCCACTTGTACTCTTCCATGTAAACTTGGAAGGTCACATTATCCAGTCCTTTAAGAAAAAACCCACATTAGGATTCCATCTGGGGTTGGACCATGTTTATATACTAATTCAGGAGAAATAAAAATGATTTGATTTACCTAGGCCCTATTTTTTCTAAATTTGTTCTTACATGCTTGGTTGGTTTTTGTTCTAATTCTATTGTAAATGACATTTCACCCCTATTTCCATTCCTTTATGTTCATTACTAGTACAGGAGGGAATTATTTTGTGTCTGGCTTTTATCCAGCCGCCTTATTAAATTACTTTATTGTAGATTTTTTTTAAGATTTATTTATTTGGGTGAGGGGAGGGGCCGAGAGAATCTTGAGCAGACTTGCTGCTGAGCACAGAGCTGGAAGTGAGGTTTGGTCCTCGCCCCCCACCCTGAGATCATGATCTGAGTTGAAATCAAGAGTTGGAGGCTCAACTGACTCAGCCACCCAGGCGACCCTAGAGTTTTTGTTTAACTGAACCATTTATGTTTGGTGTATTCATTCTTATCAGTGAAAAAGCTTTTGTTTTGTTTTTTTCATTTTGTTGTTTCACAGAATTTCATGGTGAGATTACAATATGAGGATCTTGTTTGGATCTTAATTCAAATGAACAACCAAAAAATGAGACAGAGAATTAAGCGTTTTTTTAAAATAATTACAGTGGTAATGGGCCTCCCTGCCTAATTAGTGATTATAATTTAAATAGACTTAGTATTCCATTGTTGAGAGAATAACATTTACCATTGGTGTTCGGGAATACCCTGGGTTTTATTTAAGCAGTTTCCTTAGTGTTTTTATTATAGGTGGTTGCTAAATTTTATCATATGTCTCTTCAGCGTCTATTCATATAGAATTATCTCCTTTAATTTGTTGTAACGGCTTTATGTAGATAGATACTTTTGGTATATTTCTGGAACCTAATTGCTAACAAATTATTTCATTGAGAATTTTTGCAGTTTATATTCATGAGTGAGATTGACATACCTCTATCTAGCCAGCTTTCTTAGGTCTCTCTCTGGGTTTGTTGTTAAGAGTTGTAGTTTCTTCATAAAATGAATTGGAGTGCTTTCCCTTTTTCTGTACTGGCCTAAATGACATGGGTGTTAACTGTTCAGGGTTGGATGGAATGCAGCTCTAATTCTCCCTGCTTTTGGTCCCTTCTTCATTGGTAGATTTTATTCAGCTGTTCAGTGGTTATTTGTTCTCATCAGGTTTTCCAGTTCTTGGTTCCATTTTGGTAATTTACAGTGTCTGGGAAGTCATCCATTTCTTCCAGATTTTCAGATCTGTGGCCATCTTGATACATGGAGTCTCCTGAGTCTATCTTTACCTTCTTTTCTGTATTGGCCCCCACTCCCTGCCCCCCGCCCCTAAATGGGACTTGTGAAGAAATTTGTTTCAAAGAACTAGCTTTGGGGTCTATTTATTTTTCTACTGAGTTACTTCATTTCTCAATACTGTGAGAACAAATTTATCTTTTGTATTCTTTAATGAATATCTAAAACTGAAATTCTCATCAGAGTCTATGAAGCTTTTACGGTGTCCCACAGATCCTCTTTTGTCTTCTTTCCATTGTTAGCTAGATAGCTTGAGATTTTGCTTTTGTCACCCTCATTTATCCAAAGGATATCCAGAGTGTTCCAAATAATTGGGGTTGTATTTTATCCCCCCAGCCAGTTTTAACAGATCACAAGTTGAAAATATCAGTTGTAAAAATATATTTTGAAATTTGCGTAAATTTTCTTTATAATAGTTACTTAATTTTTTTCACTAATTGCTTTTCTTTATTAACTCAAGATTCTGTGTCTGTTAATTATAGCTTATTGGTTGTATCACACATTCTTCTGCCCTTGCCCATATTCTGTTTACTGAATCTGTAATTTGGAGGGATGCTTGCTATTAAAGTCTTGGATTTGATTTGTATTTTTATCAAGTTCACGTGGTATATTTCCTAGTCTTTGCTTTATGTATTTATCTACTGTAATGCTTTGTATATGCAAGTTTAGGAATGTTATATCTTCCCTGTAAATAGTTTCTTTTATCACGGTCACATTCTTACCTTAAATTTCACTTGGACTGATACTGTTGTCTGTTCTTTCTTTGTGTTTGGCCAGCCCGGTATCTTTTAGCCTGTCCTTTTGTTTTTAGCATTTTTGTTACTTTGTTTTAAGCATATCCGTCCACTTAATGATTGATTTTATTATTTTTCCTCTTGTTTCCTTTCCATAATTTTTCTGGCTTGATCAAATTGCTATTCCATATCTGTCTCTTAATTTGGAAGTTTGCTTTTTTTTTTTTATGGTTACCTTTTCTTTTATAGACACGCTTACTTTCTATATTTGAAAAAAAGATGTCTGCTGCTGCTTCTGCCCCTTCACCTCTCCCTTTGGAATGCTCTCACTCTCGTTGCCAACTCAGAGGTTTTGCTGAGGTAGTTTAATACTAATCCTTATATTATTCATAGAATTTTTCTAGGATGTCCTTTCTGTTCAAGAGACCTTAATTCACTCCAGACAGTTGGTTAATGTGTGGACTCTGATCTTTGTTCTTCTAAGGAAAATTTTTTTCTATTATTCTTTTCCTCCCTCTGTCCCTTCTTAATGAGAACTCTTTCTGTTAACACGGTAGATGGCCTAGATTGTTCCTCCAAGTCTTTTACCCATGATCATCATCTTTGTATTTTTGCCTGTGCATTAAGAATTCTTATATTTGGTCTTCCCAGTCACAGTTTGAGTCTCAGCTGTGGACGTTTGTTCAACTGAGCTACCAATGTCTGAGTTTGAAAATCATAGTTTTTAGGTCTAGCAAGTTTTGTTTCTTTTCTTTCTTTCTTTCTTTCTTTCTTTTTTTTTTTTTTTTGAGATTTTATATATTTGAGAGGGAGAAAGAAAGAGAGCACGAGTGGTAAAGTGGGGCAGAGGGAGAGGGAAAAAAATTACTACTCTCCACTGAGCCAGGAGCCTGATGTGGTAGGCTCCATCCCCGGACCTTGAAATTGAAATCATGATAACCTGAGCTGAAGGCAGACACTTCACCAGCTGAGCCACCCAGTCGCCCCCAGTTTTATTTCTTTTAAATAGTGTACTTGCATCTTCATTCTAGTGATACTATTTTTTTGGGTCAAATTATTGCCTTCCGGGGCACCTGGGTGGCTCAGTCGTTGAGTGTCTGCCTTAGGCTCAGGTCATGATTCTAGGGTCCTGGGATCAGGCCCCATGTCTGGCTCCCTGCTAGGCAGGGGGTGCCTGCTTCTCCCTCCCCACTCCCCCGCTTGTTCCCTCTCTTACTATGTCTCTCCCTCTCTGTCAAATAAATAAATAAAATCTTTAAAAAAAAATTATTGCCTTCCTCCTCCTGCACCTTGCCTATTTAACTCTTTTTGAAGAAGGGAGATGTGGTCACTGGAGTCCTTATGCTCAGGACCTCTGTTCTCCAAGCTTTTCCAGGATCCACTGTATTCCTTTCCTTGCCAAAAGGTTCTTCAGAATTCATCTCTTGCTTCTGTTCTTGCCTAACAGTCCTACTTTCCTTTAAGTTTGCCTTAATTCCCCACCTATGCTTGGAGGTTTCCATACCTCCTCAGTCAGTGGTCCTCCCTTTTAGCCCAGGCCTGAACAGACACTCCCTTCTCAGCAGTGGTGGTGGAAACAGTTTGCGAGGCCGCACATGAGTCCACAGCCCTCTTCTGCCTCTCTTCTTGTTCCTGCCAGATAGGTGAGAGTAAGACTTCCAGTGGGCCCCTAGAAGGAGAACCAAGACTATAATGCAAATCCTACAGCTGCCAGCCTTCATTAACCAAACCACACATGGGGGTGCAGGAGCCTCATGTCTTCAGAGGTGGTTGGGAACAGTGACATTCAGAAAGGAAAAAGGGTGTGCAGTTTTCAGGAATGTTAAGGTTTGGGGGATGGGGAGACAAGAACAGGAAAGAAACTTTCTACTAAGTTTCTAAGCTCCAGAGGGAATCAAATCTGACTGCATTCATATCTCTTGACTTTGTTACCAAAGGTTAGCCATTTCCAGACTCCATGTTCCCCAAAGTTTAAAGTCTTAAAATTCATTTTAAAATTCCAGATGTCTCTAGAACTGTTACTCTCCTCAAGCACTCCAGTGTGTTCAGTCCTTTTCCCTTTACTTATAAATGTTGTTCTGTGTGCTCCATTGTCAAAAACTAGTTCTCAGGATTTCAAGGAACCTTCAGTAGCAAATAGTACTCTACAAGCACCCTTTCCTTGTAGACAGGTTTCAAAGAGAGAAAGAAAAATCATAATTCAAGAGGTCATGAGCATTTGTATTTTTCTCCTATTGTGTCCCTGGTGCTTCACATATAATCAGTACTAAAGTTAGTTTGGATACTATTGGAAATATGGGATGTTTGTATGTATACATATGTATATATGGCTGATTTAATCTAATTTTTTATATTTAATTTATAATGAGATAATCTCATTTTTATAATTTGATGCAATTGACAAGGTGAGTGAAACATAAGGTGTTTATGCTTTGTGTGTAAGTCTTTACATGTCAATTCATGCTACATCAAATGTGTGTATACATATAAACATACACTTTTTTTTTAACAGATCAAGGAAACTTCACTGAAGATGTCTAAGGTAAGAGATCTTCTCATTTCTCTACAATACAAGGAGAAACTGCTTTGTGTTTTCAAGCTGTTTATACTCAAGACTTATATGACTCATTTTTAGTATAACTGATATATTTGATTCATTGAGACAGTTCTGATTTGACATTTTAAAAGCTTTGAGCTTTCTTTTTTCAGATTTCCAGTTTCTTGTTTCTAAATGCATGAGTACCAATCCATTTAACCTACTTTGATTCATTCCCAGCAGACCAATCAAATAATAATTTAAAATTCAAATAATTTATCATTATGAATTTTATAGGCACAGAGCCCTGAAATAAATTAGTTCTAAAAAGCATGCTGAGAAAAGCAGAACTTGTGGCTAAAATTGCAAGATTATTACTTTCCTTTTCTTTTGGAGTGTTTGGGTATTCATTACTATCTGATGCATAATCGTCGTACTAATTTTTGCTTTTGTAAAGTATATATATCTTAATTTGTGAGAACTAATGATACCTTTGTCACAGGTTTGGTTATATCTTAAAAGTAACTGATAAGGTTTTTTTTTTGTGTGTTTTTTTTGTAATATCTTATTTTAGCAACAGCCAACTCAGTTTATAAATCCAGAAACTCCTGGCTATGTCGGATTTGCAAATCTTCCCAATCAAGTTCACCGAAAATCAGTGAAAAAGGGTTTTGAGTTCACACTAATGGTGGTCGGTAAGAAATTAGCTTATATCTTCAAGCTTATTAAATAAGTGGATATTTCCCCTTCCCAACTTTAGGGTTTAATAGTGTGGCCTATAAAGTCAAAAGAAAGATTCCTTTGTTGCCAGAATCCAGTAACTGGGAATTTGAAAAAACAGTTCTTTAGAAAATTTTGTTGAAGAGTAAAATTCTAATATTTCTGTCATTTTCTTGTTTGTATGTGGTAAAAGTGCTGGTGACCCTCCAAAATGGCCACAGTGACTCTTGCCTCCTGGTGTTTGTGATACTTTCTACCCCCTCCCCCATTATGTAGGGCTTACCCATGTAGCCAGTAGGATATGGCAGAAATGAAGGTGTGTGATTTTGAGACTGGGTCATAAAAGAGATTGCAGCTCGCACCTTAACTTCTCTTGAATCACTCGCTCTGGGGCATGCCAGTCACTGTGTTAGGAGGACCGGCCTGCAGCTTTATAGAGAAGTCCCCCAAAGCAGGGAGCTGAGACCTGCCAGTAGCTGAGTGTAAGCTGTTCTGGACCTTCCTGAACAAAGTTAGAAACAAGCCCTGTAGGATCAAGCTGATTGACAAATAAGCTGTTGTCAGGATAAAAGCCATCATTCATTAAAGAGGGATGTCAAAATCCAGTTTACGATGTAACATTTAAAATTGCTAGCATCCAATAAAAAGTTACTGTTTATGCAAAGAAACAAAACAATGTAGCACATAACCAGGAGAGAAATCAGGCAATAGAAACAGATCCAGAAATGACAGAGGTGATAGAATTGGTGAACAAGAACTTTTACTATTTTATTTATTTTTTTAAGATTTTATTTATTAATTTGAGAGAGAGAGAATGAGAGAGAGAGAACATGAGAGGGGGAAGATCAGAGGGAGAAGCTGAAGCAGGGAGCCTGATGCGGGACTCAATCCAGGGACTCCAGGATCATGACCTGAGCTGAAGGCAGTCACTTAACCAACTGAGCCACCCAGGCACCCAAAAACTTTTACTATTTTAAATATGCTTCTGGTACCTAAAAGAGAATATAAATGAAATAAAGATAACCAAAAAGCACTTAACAAAAGAACTAGAGATTTTTAAAAAATAACAATATTTGAGATGGAAATTTTTCTGACGTATATAACAGTGAATTGAATATATCCAGACCCCAGGTAGAATATATATAAAGAAAACAACACTAGGGCACACAATAAACAGTTGGTGAAAAGCAGTTATAAACAGAAAAATCTTCTAAGGAACGCGGTGGGTGGTGGGAAACAGGCACATTGCATACAGAGGATGGAAGGGTAAAAGGACCACTGACTTAGCAGGAATAACATAAGCCATAGGAAATGATAGTTTAAAATACTGAAAGAATAAAACCATGAGCCTGGAATTCTGATGGAGACTTTAAAAAAATGAAATACAGGGCTGCCTGGGTGGCTCAGTGGGTTAAGCCTCTGCCTTTAGTTCAGGTCATGATCTCAGGGTCCTGGGATCAAGTCCCGCACCGGGCTCTCTGCTAGGCAGGGAGCCTGCTTCCTCCTCCCTCTCTCTCTCTCTCTGCTTGCCTCTCTGCCTACTTGTGATCTCTCTCTGTCAAATAAATAAAATCTTTAAAAAAAAATGAAATACAGACATTTTTAGGTAAAAACTGAGAGAATTTATCACTATCAGACCTACACCAGAAGAAAGATGGTTTTTTTTTAAAGATTTTATTTATTTATTGGACAGATAGAGATCACAAGTAGGCAGAGAGGCAGGCAGAGAGAGAGAGGAGGAAGCAGGCTCCCCGCAGAGTGGAGAGCCTGATGCAGGTCTCGATCCCAGGACCCTGGGATCATGACCTGAGCTGAAGGCAGAGGCTTTAACCCACTGAGCCACCCAGGCACCCCAAGAAAGATGATTATTAAATGGGATTTTTCAGGGTAACAGAAAAGGTAGAGCACTAGAAATGGCAACTGTGTTGGTAAACAAACACTTTTTTTTGGTTTTTCATTTCTTTCAATGATAATTACTTTTATAGCAAAGTTAATGAGGTATGACGTTGGAGTATGATGAACCAGAGTAGCAAGGGACAGGAGGGTGTGTAGAAGGACTGCTGTAATACATTGACCTCATGGAATATTCTGTAAGAGAGGGATGCTAAGTTAACATTGCTTGTTGTCAACTCTGGAGCAGCCATTAGAAAAGGAAAACAAGGGTTTGACCAGAAGCAAATAGGTTTGATAAACTAGAACACAAGAACCTGTTTAATCCAAAAGAAGGCAGATAAAGAGGAGATGAGACAGATGGGGAGAGGGCAGCTCTCTGGCTGAAGGGGCACAGCCATGACCGTGACAGGTGAGAGACAGGCAGGATGAGCCTGAACAACCAGAACAGAAAATCTTCATGCGGAACCCAACCATGAGAAACCTCACATGGCTCTATCAATACCAGATAGCAGACTTCAGGTCTACTACCTGGATGTTCCCAGACACCAAAAAGTAGGTATCAGAAAGATTCAGGGGACAGTGGAAAACAATGTCTTAACTGTATGTACACTTAATAACAAATCTCAGTGAGGTATGGTGCAGAATCAGGAAAAATAATTTGTGAGAGTGGGTTTTTAACATTCTGCATAGTAATTTTTGAAACAAAATCAGTAATGTTTCAGAATATTAAAATAACGCTATCAAACAATGTGACCTAATTGACATTCAGAGCACTGTGCTGAGGGACTACAAGGTAACACATTCTCTTCAAGGGCACACGGAACTTTCACAAATGCTAGTCTTTATTATTTTTTTGTTTTTTAAGATTTTGTTTATTTATTTGATAGAGAGCACTAGCAAGAGGAGTGGCAGAGGGAGAGGGAGAAGCAGACTCCCCGAAAGCAGGAAGCCAGATGTGGGGCTCAATCCCAGGACTCTGAGATCATGACCTGAGCTGAAGGCAGAAGCTTAACAACTGAGCTCCCCAGGCGCCCCCCAAAGATACTCTATGGCGAGAGTATTTTGGTAGGCCAGCATTACCCCGTAATCAGTAATGAGAAAAGTACAGACTAACTCTTAATGAGCGTAGACACAAACATCTCAGTGAAGTTAAGGCAAGTCCAGCAATACATAAAAATGCTCATTAACACAGTCACTTTTGCTACAGTACAATGTATATGTGCTCCTTAAAAATCACCATGTTAGGGGTGCCTGGGTGGCCCAGTCATTAAGCATCTGCCTTCGGCTCAGGTCATGGTCCCGGGGTCCTGGGATCAAGCTCTGCATCGGGCTCCCTGCTCAGTAGGAAGCCTTCTCCCTCTCCCATTCCTCCTGCTTCTGTTCCCTCTTTTGCTGTGTCTCTGTCAAATAAATTTAAAAAAAAACCCAACAACACACCATGTTATATAGTAATGCAGTTGAAATCATAGGCTCCTAAAGAAAACAGGGGTATAAGACTCAAAACCCAATTTCGGTGGCATATTTAGAAGAGAGTGAGGAATGTAATCAGGATGGTTTTTACATGTAAGTTGGTTAAAATACTATCTGATGTCAAATGTAGTCACTATGGGTTGACTAGTCCCTGAAGTTTGTCAAAGTGGGCATCAGGAAATGGTGGAAGGATGGCTGTGTGAAAATGGACGGGGAGCTGTGCCAAGAGGACTGAGTGGCCGTTTCCCACGATACCACTTTACTGAGGTTGTTGGGAGCTCTGGGGGTACATGTTGGGAGTAAACTTTCATGGCTTGATATTACTGGGTGTGGTTGTCTGTGTTCACCTAGTTTAACAACAGTGAAATTACACATAAACAGATACAAAGTTTATATTATGTCGAAATTGTTCCCAAACATACCAGTTGTGTTGGCACAAATTCTCAACTTCAGGGCTCATGTTTTGGCAAAGCTGACTGTATATCCTAACCAATGGGGCTTATCCCAGGAGTGTGTGGTTTAACATTGGAAAATGAGTCCTCATGGTTCTGAAGGGGAAATGCATGCCGTCACCTAAAACATGCGGTTGTAACGATTTCAGACCCTTTAAAGGTTTTAAAAATTAGTAAGCTAGGGCTCCTGGGTTGCTCAGTTGATGAAGCAGCTGTCTTCAGCTCAGGTCATGATCCCGGAGTCCTGGGATCAAGTCCCGCATCAGGCTCCCAGCTCCAGGGGGAGTCTGCTTCTTTCTCTGACCTCCCCTCTCATGCTCTCTTTCTCACTCTTTCTCTCAAATGAATAAATAAAATCTTGAAGAAAAATATTAGTAAGCAATAAGTAAAAGGAAGTTTTTTCAACTTAAGGGTATATATTAAAAACCTATAGTTAGTGTCTTTCTCATGAAGAAAGAAAATAAAACATGCTTAATTACAAGTGAAAAGATTTTTGAGTATGTTAAAAACTCTAAGGAATCCCAAAACTACTAAGTCTAATAAGTCATTTTTATCAAGATTGCAGGTTCTGATCAGTACACAAAAATCAACTTGATTTCTCTGGATTACCAACAGATAATTTTAAAATGACCTTTAAAAGACAGTAAAAAACAATAGTAATAAAAACATTTCAAAAGACAGTATCATTTGCCTTAATACAAGAAATTCATACTGCTGAACATAACGTAGCAAAATGGTGTGCACGTCCCCCACTGACAACATGACGACTGGGCTGAGTGAAGGAAGGTCAGAGGAACTGTGAGCACTACTGGCATGTTGGGTGTGCCCATGACCGTGTCCTGCTGCCCACATAGTGATCCACAGAGTCAACACAGTGCCCGTCAGAGTCACACCAAGCTTGTGTAAGGTAGAAATGAACAGTCTGATTTTGAAGTGTAAACATAAGTGCAGAGGGCCTAGAATAGACCAAATCACGTAGAGGACTCTTACTATCTGATTTCGAGATGTACCAGCAGGAACTGTGAAGTGTGGTAAATGTAGACAATCAAATCTAGTGAAGAGAATAACAGCCCAAAGTAGACCCACATACACGTGGTCAGCTGATTCTTGACAAAGGTGCCAAGGTGATACAAAGGCGGAAAGGTTGGTCATTTTGGAGA